ACCAATCCAATTACCAATCCTAGAACTACTTTTCATGGAGGGTTGACGTCAAATTAGTTGTAGGACATAGAATTGTGAACCGACAAACTACAGATGGATATATATTTATAAATATACTAGTAGGAAGAAAAGTGAAAAATATATTATCTTTCTTTATAAAAGTCAAAGAAAAAGATAAAAAATACTACGAATTGAGCGTATATTCTTTCTGTTTGATTTAAAACTCTGTTAAAAAAGGAAACAAGAATTGAGATGAAACAATTACAAAGTCGTAATTCAGTGGAATGGATTCGCAAAAGAATGATGTGAAAGTAAAAATACAGGAAATGGTTCGGAATGATTGTACCGCGTCTTGTTCATCTAATGGAGATACTTTAGCTTTTGAATAGTTCGTATTTTTGGAATACCTACTAGTTTTTGAACACGATAATAATTTTTAAGAATACTATTTTTTTTTAATGTATTGCTCATATGGTTGGACGAGCTCACGGCCCACCTGGTGTTAAGTGATTACCGGAGCCCATAGACATCTACAACGTAAATACCGCCAGCCACCTTGAGACATCAGGTCTTACTTTTAACAGTACAACGGCTGTCCCGCCCTTTAAGCCGCATCGTATTACTGCTTCACGGCAGAAATACGCAGGGTGGTGGTACCCAACCTTGCGGACTCACAAGACGTCCTACCACCAGTAATGTACGTTTATTTAGAATTATTTTATTTAAACGTAGTCATGATATATTATGGATTTAGATTTTTTTGCCTTTCTTTTTAAATGTCTTTGAAACCAGACGAGCGTACCGCTTATCTATTGATGAGTAGTTACCTTAGCTCATGGACGACAGCAATGTCAAGGGATTGAGCCAAGCTGCTCCCTACCGTTGAGTACTTTTCGCAAACCTAGTTTGAAAAAAGACTTGTTATAGCGCTCCAAAAACACTGTGTAGGGGGGAATTCATTCAAGAGCCGTTTAGTACAGAGCAAACAGCTTAGTATGGTGAACTCTGCTCTGCTAAAGCGGGTAAGCCATAAAGATGGGTAAACAATGTATTTTGCTTTATGACCTTCTAATCCAACAAAGTTGCAGTATTATATTAACAGTGGGCTGTGTACGGCACAAACAGTAGTCACTTCATTTCGCTTTCAAGGAAATGTAGAAAGATATAAAATTAAATGTTATTTATTTATGACAAAAGTGTTTTAAGTACATAGTTTATTGTCTTTACAATTGTATTAACTGTAATAATGATAGAAGGCGTTGTGGCGTTTAAGAACGCACCTTTTTAATAATACGTAAGCCGAAATGCACGAGTGGTGAAACAAAGAAGGAAGTGACAAGGTGACAGATTTTTTTACCGCCGAAAATACATAAGACGAAAAATAATAATAAGTGCATAACTTAAAAGTGGGTAAGCCACGGTAAGGTGGTGATGGTAGACCGCGTTCCCCCGACCGCTTTGGGGGAAGGTGTAACGCGGCGCCATCAAAGCGGGCTCTCGGCCCGCTGAACGAGGGAACCGGTGGTCGTGTCGCTGGCGGCCACCGGTCTGGCGTCCGTGGGACGGTGGGATGGATGTAATGTGCTCTGCGTCAACCCTGTCCCGCCGTTTCAATAGCCCAGACTGGGCTCCGGCCCGGTCCGAGGTAGGGCGCCGGTTGTGAGCGGCACTAGTTTTTAGTGAGGTTCAACTCCCACATACCCCACCTGCCGCGCGGGTGGGGATCCGGCGATTTTCTCCTGTGGAAAAAAAAAAGCCACGGTAAGGTAATAAAACTCCTATTGTTTCAATTGTGGTGTTAATTACGACTGATCCAAAAACACGATTTTCACGCGAAATAAAGAAGGAACTCTATACGGACTCCCTCAGTGTTTCTTTTTCAATATGCGAAAGCAAGGTAAATACTTGTATGAGTGTACATGTAAACGTATCGTTAATTAGTTTACAGAAAAAATGTTTGTTTTCCGCAGCTTGTTGCAAATAAATAAATGAACACCGAATCGCATTTCACATGTGAACGGGTCCGTGTATATGTGTTATAGTGGTGTCACTCAATCAACCTAATAGCCTCTAAATTACTTTGATCGTTTTTCCGGAAGGCTAATGAATTCTCACGGCTCAATACACAGCACGGTTGAGAGAGCGCAGCGGAGCTTGTGTAACTAATATTCAGTTCTCAATTAAAACCGTAGTTCATGTAGTAGGTACATATATTTTGGATGACTCCCAAACTTCGTAATTTGGCAGGGTAAACCTTTTCGGAACGAGTTCCCGTAAAGGATGATGAACATAAACGTCTTTGTGATTTAGCCGTTTGAAATCGCAATACTTGGCAGCTTAGGCACAGATAGTTTTTAATACGCTTTTATTAGCTTCAGACGTATGTATGTTAGTATGTAAACGAATCTTTGAACATGATTTTGACCCCCTTCAAAAGGTCGGATTAACTCGAAATTTGGTATACTTATTAAGGAGCGATGACAATTCAATATTAATAAACAAAATAGAAAAATATATATTGAAAAAATTGAAATTCAACTAAAATATAAGAAATAAATAATAGTTTAAAAAAACTCACAAAATACGCTTTTATAGAAAATCCAACTAAAAAATAGAAAATAAATTTGAATAAATTTGAATTTTTTTTTATATTTTTATTGCTTAGATGGGTGGACGAGCTCACAGCCCACCTGGTGTTAAGTGGTTACTGGAGCCCATAGACATCCACAACGTAAATGCGCCACCCACCTTGAGATACAAGTTCTAAGGTCTCAAGTATAGTTACAACGGCTGCCCCACCCTTCAAACCGAAACGCATTACTGCTTCACGGCAGAAATAGGCAGGGTGGTGGTACCCATCCGCGCGGACTCGCAAGAGGTCCTATACCACCAGTAATTACGCAAATTATAATTTTGCGGGTTTCATTTTTATTACACGATGTTATTCCTTCACCGTGGAAGTCAATCGTGAACATTTGTTGAGTACGTATTTCATTAGAAAAATTGGTACCCGCCTGCGGGATTCGAACACCGGTGCGCGTTGAAGCGATTCAACACGAATGCACCGGACGTCTTATCCGTTAGGCCACGATGACCAATAAAACGATGACTAATTTATAATAGTGTAAGAAAAAATGATTTTATTGTAAAAAAAATTCAGGATATTATCAAAATAACCCTTCTACTCATATCTGTTCCTAAAATATTTATAACTACTGATACCATTTTTAGTTGGATTTTCTACAAAAGCGTATTTTGTTAATTTTTTTTTAAACTATTATTTATTTTAGTTTAATATTCGTTTATGGTCATATGAATATATCGCTGAAAATGAATCAAAAGGTTTTATGTTTTTTTTAATACTGGCATAGAATTTATTACATATACCGGCATAGGTTTTATTATTGCAATATATTTCAGTTAGTTACATTAATTGGATTTAAAAACATGATATTTAAAAAAAATTACTGGCGGTAGGACCTCTTGTGAGTCCGCACGGGTAGGTACCACCACCCTGCCTATTTTTGCCGTGAAGCAGTAATGCGTTTCAGTTTGAAGGGTGGAACAGCCGTTGTAACTATACTTGAGACCTTAAAACTTATATCTCAAGATGGGTGGCGCATCTATGCTGTAGATGTCTATGGGCTCCAGTAACTACTTAACACCAGGTCGGCTGTGAGCTCGTCCACCCATCTAAGCAATAAAAAAAGAAAAAATATATACACAAATAACTTTTAGATATACCTCTACACAATTTGAAGCCGTACTTTTTAAATAGGTACTATGAAAATAACAGAATTCGAAATTCACAAAGCTGGCACTCCGCGTTAGGCACGATTTATCTGAAGACATAATAAATTTACATTATACCTAGCAAGCTGTCGAAAATTTAATCTTCGGTAATTTAAGGGAAGCAAATCGATTCCTATACCTACCCGTTACGTAGTTGTTGAAGTTTAAAGCAAGTATCCAGGGAAAGTTGGCTTCAAATTTACGGGAACGTGCTCGGATCAAGTTTTCGTATTTTGGGTAGTTTACACCCTTATCAAGCTCGTAATGGAAAATGTGACGTGTTGATCTTCAGATTTTAATAACGTTTTTTCTAATAGAATTTCTGACGTTATACTGTGATTTTTTGTTTAGAAGAATCGCATAGTGTCATGATTTGCTGCATTATACATATACTTTAACATAGACTAAATCAGCGGTCGGCGAACTTTTTTAATTATTACCCCAAAATATTTTTGTGTAAGTTGATATTACCCCATGGCGAAGAACAAAAAAAAACGAAATCGCTTCTTTTTAGCATATTTCAAATTATAGCCCCCAATGAAATACCTGGGTAAATCACGTGAACTTTGTGTTTCCAAATAATGTGTTCTGTCTCGTTCTCTCACCGGCTGAGTCCTATACATTTATGTGTTTGTGTCTCTATGAACTTATTTTTTCGTTTCGTTTCATCCAGTTTGAAATCACAACGATTCTAAAAAAAGTTTCACTTCAATATATACTTTTTACTTACAAAAGTTTCATTTTTACCCCCCAAAATTTCATTTTACCCCATTTGGGGTAATTTACCCCGGTTCCCCGACCGCTGGACTAAATAGATAACACAGACAGTTGAGTGTTCTCCAACTTCTTCGTTGGTTTATTATTATTACATTTCTAAATGCTTTGTAAATACATCTATTGTAGGTAAATATATTGTTCTATAAATCCATTTATTTATTCTACATTATTTAATAATGTACTCAAAGATTTGGTCCATTTTGATAGATCATTCTGAATATGGTTAATAATGGTCTTATTATAATTTCTCTACATAAAAAAATTGCCTGGAAGAGGTCGCCTTTAGAGAAAATACCGCCTATTGTACGATTATACTAAGTTTTTCTTTTTATTATTTTGGGCAGTCCAATTTACGGATAGTCGGCGTTGGAGGATCAAGTTTAGCACACTAAACAACTACCCCGCACTCTTACACCCGACGTCCGATCACAGGGGGTCAGAACCCTGTCAGGATTCCGGCGGTCAACACTACAACCAGACTCGCGGCGCCACCCCTAGGCCAGGTTATGTCAGACCCCAAAACAACTACACATTAAGCACTATCGAATATTTTCTGATTCATAAATAGGTGCGGTATGTGAATAAGGTACGGGCGCATAGACTTTTTATATAGCACTAACCGTACTCGTCCGCTTCGCTGGGCATTTAAAATTAACATTATTATTTATTGTCATTATTATTAGGGAGTTCAACACTCATATAAACATTAGCCTATCCATTAAGTACATGTATTTTCTACATGGATACCAAGTTTCAAGTCAATCGGATGCTTGGTTCAGTAGTTATAACGGAACATCCGTAAAAACCACTGTAGATTTATATATTAGTATAGATATGTAGGTAGCCGAACTCATGGCTCATCTGGCGTGAAGTGGCATTTGACTTCATGGTTATCACAACGTGAATGCTACCATCTGCCTAGGTATGTGAGATGTCAATTTTATCATATAAGGATTGTCCCAGCCTTCAAGCCGCATAACTATTGCGCGGCAAAAACAGAACCTACCCGGGCGAGCTTATAACATCAGAAAAACAGTTTTTTGTAGCTTATAATATAATAAAATACCAGGTGAACCTGTTCCTCAAATAAAAATATTTGGGGTATCATATCCTTAAAATTTTACCTGTTTGAAACCTTTATGCATCTCAGTAATAGACCTGTAGTTCACACTACGGCCCCTTCACGTAAGCATAACAGCACATATGGATATTTAGGAGCACTGTTAAAAAAAAACATATCAGACTTTTTAATAGTATACACATATACATAGTTTCCGTCGAAATCATAGAAAGTCCTAACAGTCTGACAGCACCACGAGCACTATCCCTGAAACTAGCACATTTTTACAGGTATTTGGCATAACCACGAGAACACTGTGGCTTTAAGCGGAGGTCGGGGCCGATAGTACTACGTCGGAGGCACGCGCCGGCCTCCTCGCAGCCCCTCACACCGCTCAGCCATGGTTCGCGATAAGAAACCACAGAAGACCGACTCGCAGAAATGTAAGTACATTATAGTATAATACAAACTACGTCGAAGTCGTCGTGGCCTAAAGAATAAGACGTCTGGTGCACTCGTATCTAGCGATGTACCAGTGTTCGAATCCCGCAGGTGGTACCAATTTTTGTAATGAAATACTTACTTAACAAATGTTAAGATTGACTTCCACGGTGAAGGAATAACATCTTGAATACTACTTATATATTAATAAGGCTGTTCTACACTTTAGATCGCAGAATAGAGATGTGAGCAGAAAGATTTCCGATGGAAGAAAACTGTTGAGGAGATAATGTTACTATATTCTATTTTCTGTTATAGAATACTCGCTGCCGCTATAGCCGATGTATACTATTTATTGCCTTTTAATGTGAGGTCCTTTGATTCAAGACTTGTTAAAAATATGATTTTATTCTGAGTTATATATTAACTGAGTATAATATTAATAGTATTATAGTGTTTACCGCATTCTAAGGCAGATAAACAAGCTATCTCGTCTGCTCAGGTACCTGTATTGTCAAGTTGATATTCTCATGAAGTATCTTCTATATACCTTTTTAAATCGGGTACCTATAAACAAGATAATAGCTAAATACTATCACGATTCGTAGTCCTCAACTGTTGTTCAGATCTAGAAAATTACTTATAACGTCACATATGGAAACAAAACCTTTAAATTTATCAAAAGAATCCACACCATTAAAATATCCAAGAAAATATATATAATGTATTTATTTATTTAAATCAAAATACAGTTTAGCTTTGTAAAACTATAGCAATTGAGTTGCTCTTATAAAGAGAAACAACATTTAAAGCTATTGCTTCACCATTATTTTTATATCTTTTTATATTTTAATATTATAAAGAGGAAAGATTTGTTTGTTTGTTTCGAATAGGCTCCGAAACTACTGGACCGATTTGAAAAATTCTTTTTCCATTAGAAGCCGACATTGTCCCTGATGAACATAGGCTACTTTTTTTAATTTTTTTTTTGGTTTCATGTGTGTTTTAATGTTTCCGAAGCGAAGCGAGGGCGGGTCGCTAGTCTTTTTATATTTTAATATTGCAAAAATGCTCTTTATATGTCTAATGTTCTAATGTTTCAATAATCGAAATTCTATTTATGTCATCTATAGAAGAATGATATAAATAACATATTAACCTCTTTAAGGATTAATCGTATAGAGGTTACATATATATTATTTTGTTGAACTACTACAAATTTTATTTCTTTCAATAAAACAACTGAAGTTCGACAATTGAAACCAGTAATTTCATTAGTGTTTTCCAATCGACCTAAATCTTTTCCATTTTACGATCTCCATCTTCTGCAAAATAAACAAGTCAACTGGTTCATTAGTATATAGAATTTTCATCCGTGGGCATTAAATTGTTTTAATTTAAGATTAAATAGCAAGATTTGTTGGAAAAAATAATTTCGATGTTCTTTTGATCGAATTTTGGCATCGATCGTAATGTACGTGTCCACAGAGGATAGATACAGAACGCAGGTATCTGGTAGTTAATGGTCGTAAATCTGTTAGGTATGCCAATGCTCAAGCGTCGTTTTGCAGGCGTCATTACAAAACTTCACGAATCAATTTCTCAAAATAAGGATCAATTCCTCGTGTTATATTCAAAATTAGAGACATATAAGGTAACAATAATTTTTTATTTTATTTCTTAGATGGGTGGACGAGCTCACAGCCCACCTGGTGTTAAGTGGTTACTGGAGCCCATAGACATCCACAACGTAAATGCGCCGCCCACCTTGAGATATTAGTTCTAAGGTCTCAACTATAGTTACAACGGCTGCCCCACCCTTCAAACCGAAACGCATTACGGCTTCACGGCAAATAGGTGGGGTCGTGATACTTACCCGTGCGGACTCACAAGAGGTCCTACCACCAGTAATTACGCAAATTATAATTTTGCGGGTTTCATTTTTATTACACGATGTTATTCCTTCACCGTGGAAATCAATCGTGAACATTTGTTGAGTACGTATTTCATTAGAAAAATTGGTACCCGCCTGCGGGATTCGAACACCGGTGAATCGCTCAACACGAATGCACCGGACGTCTTATCCGTTTTTATTTTTTTTATTTAGCACCCTAAGCTAAAGACATAAAATGTAGACGAACGAATATAAAAATTGAGGCTTAGACCTCGTGTCTCGGGATGGGTGTTGTCATTCACATTATCTATGTCTATGAACTACAATCAACACCAAGTTGGCCATAAAATTTGTTTTAGTTGAAACAGTAGCGTGTAGCTATCACTAAACACAAGTTATTTGACAGATGCCTGAATCTTACTAACGACCTTTTCAAGATAAGTTTGCATGTAAGCAATTTCACCCCCTCGAGGGAAATTTTTACCCTTTTGTCGTTAACATCCAAAAAACAAAATTTGTAACTACACTATTTACCTCATAAAAGTATAGCAGTTAACCCAATAAAGGATGAAAAGGTTGCAATATAAATACAGATTACGACGCCATAAGTATTAATAACGCTAGCAAAGTCTGATTTCAATGCCCCATTTTATTGAGCTATATTAATAAAAACAAAATAAACTGAACGGAGAAAACAATAGACGGAGACGAGGCGTACCAAACGTAAAATTTAACGATATCGAATCTATATCAGCGAAATTAAAGTACATATTTATGAACTATCTAAGCAACAGTACTTAATGGATGAGAGGAACGGTGTGTTTGTATTGAATTATGTCATTAAGCTGGGCCCCGAATTCTCTGACATGTAGCATTATTTTTTCGTAGCTGACAGAATAACTTATAGGTATCTTAAGATGAATGGCGGTATTTATATTATGATATTTATGTTCTATGCTAATCACACAACATCACATGTATTGTGAGCTAGTCTGTCTATATTCCAATATTCATTAAAGAGTAAATCAATATTAATCCATATATCAGTACTTACAATTTTGGTATTAGTGTAATAGTACTTTGTGTGGAATATTAAGGTGTTTTATATGAAAGACCAAGATTAGGACCTATGCTTATATATATATATATATGACTAGCGGCCTGCTCCGGCTCCGCTCGAGACTTTAACAAAAATTTTACCGATATTTGACAGTTTTATTTTTTAAAATAAAAGAACACTTATTGCTTCATAACTATAATAGTTAGACATATGCTGTCGCGACACTTTTTGTAAATAAGAATGTATTCCACAAAGTCGTAGTACATTATTTTATTCTATCATCAATACTTTCGCAGGGCACGCGATGTAAAGAATATTTTAGGTAATTTTTTAACACCTTAGGTTACATTATTGGAGTTTTAGTAAGAATCCCTAATTTTTTTCAAAAAAGGTTATAACTTTAGTCACTCGAGAATAGTGTAGCTTCCAAATAGTGAAAGAGTTTTTCAAATCGGCTCAGTAGTTTCGGAGCCTATTCAATACAAACAAACAAACAAATCTTTCCTCTTTATAATATTAGTATAGAAGTATAGATATAGATAAAATTTACTAAATAACATCTAGTTTGTCTTCAAAATATGAAACACAAACTGTCCCTTACTAGCTACTCCGCAATTAACCAACCACTAATTGTAATTCAATTAATTCTAGTCATAACCGACCCAGCTAAACAACTGGAAAATTTGGGACAATTTATAACTCCTTTAACTTTACGACTAATTGCTTTACCATTTGACCTAAATACGAAATTATCTTAAAACATAAACCCGAGACTCGTAAACGCAACATGGGCGCTTAACCGCTATTAAGAGTCGCCAAGCTTGACTTGCAAAAGCTCAATAGCTTTTGAGGCATGACTTTGCTTTACGTTTATAAAAGATTTTTGATGAAAGAAGCTTTGCGCTTGTTAATACGGGGTTCAGAGCTTCGATTTTACTTGTCACGTCAGAACACAGATAACTCAATTTAACGCCATTTCAACTTCTCTGGTTCACTATAGAAGCTAACTAAGAATGATTTATTTGTATTTGAAATGATTCCGTGAACTCATTTCTTCCGTTGTATCTATCACCAGCGATCTAAGCAGTCTACATTTGGGAATCACTTTTTTCTGTTAAAAGGAGCTTGTCGGACTTTTGGACTTTTGCGTGTGCGTTGGAGTCGATTTTTTTTCTTCTTAATCGTTGTACTTTTGTTTTAAAATAATCGGGAATAAGTCATGCGCGTTCATCCTGTCCCAAGTTACAATTCACTGTACCATTGCCCAGACAAAGAGCAAACAAACAACACGTTTGTTACTGCACTATCGAGTCAGTCAACAACAACAATTTTTATTTTCGTAGCAGCTCGATAAAAATTCTTGGTCAGCAGATATAGCTGTCGATGCGAAAAAATCTGCTTTTGAAGTGACATTCAGTAAATTGCGCCATAAATTTTATGAACTTAATAACAAAAGTAAATAAAAGGGCTACGTGTCATAAGACATTAATGGAGATGCTCATAACGTTATTTAGAACATAAAACATAACCAGGCACCGTGATATGAGAAGTCGTTTGTTTGACATTATCATGATTAAGGCACGTAACTTGGGTATGAATATCATGTATGCAGAGTCTTGACACCCTGAATGGAATCTATTTATGTGTTTTTGTAAAATCGTATTCTTCGATAATAATTTGTGGGCCTTGAAGACAAGCCATTATTGGGGTTGATCCCGAATACACGTACAGTGTGCAATACGAGATTTGAGATCGAAGACCTTCGCAATAGAATACATAATTGTATAGCAGTAGATAAAGGAGAACTGTGGAACCGGCCCATGTTGACTTAACTTCGTACGACCAAAAGTTTCCAAGTTAAGTTAATAAGTTAAGTACAAACTGAGTTTGTCGTCTTGGCGAAAGGATAAGACGTCCGGTGAATTTGTATCTAGTGATGCAACGGTGTTCGATCCCGCAGGTACCAATTTTTCTAAACGTACTTAAAAAATGTTCACGATTGACTTCCACGGTGAAAGAACAACATTGTGTAATAAAATCAAACCCGC